CTGGAGAGAAGGAGTCAGATAAATGGTCTTAAGGCATCAAAAGGCCTGGAATTTTTGAGGAAAAAGGACACCCGTGTGGCTAAAGATAAGGCAAAGTGTTGAATTAACTAATTTTAGGAGTCATAGACCATGATAAATATTTTGGATTTCAGTCCATGTGCTATTAGAAACCTCTGGGAGGTTTTAAGCAGGGAATCAACACAAAATGAGTTTAAAACAAGATCACTATGGTTGCTATTTGGAAAATGGATCAAAAGTGACCAAGAAGAGAAGGGAAAGCCAATTATCAGAACATTACCATATTTCAAATTTGGCATGTTCTGGGGTTCAAGATAATGGAGAAAAGAAGTATTTTTAATAGGCTTTTGGTTTATGTTATTTGCAATGTAGAAAAAAAAGAATTGGACTGCCTCATACAGGCTGAATATTACTATATGTCAAGTATACTTAAAAAAAATGGAAAACAAAAATCAAGTAGAATCTTAGGAAACTCCAGTTGAGCAAAAAATATATATATTATATATAATTATAGGAATTGAACAATATGTACACTTTCGCGTCTGACGTTTTTCACTCAATGATATTTATAATATTTTAAAAATTGTACATGCAGTTGAACATATCAGACGTTTATTCTTTTTTTTTAACGAATAATATTTCCTTGTATTAATATACAATAATCTGTTTATCCGTTCTCCTCTTGCTAGAAATTTGGGCTGCTTTTTCTGATTGTGAATAAGTCTGTTACATACAGTCTTGTTTGAGTCTTTGGTGAGTGGCAGGGGATATCCATTTTTATTTCTCTTGGGTAAATATTTGAGGTGAAATTGCTGGATCGTATGCTAGAAACATGCTTACCTCTATAAGACAGAGCTACGAAGTTCTCCAAAGTGGTTGTCACCAACACTGTAGGAGAGTTCTAATTGTTCCACCTCCTCAGCAACATTTAGTTTTGTTCGTCTTTGTGCTTTTAGCCATTCTATTGGTTGTGAAACAGTATTCCACTTGCAATGTAGATTGCACGTCCTTGATGACTAGTGGTGATGAGCGCAATTTCATGTGGTTATAGGCCTTTTGTATATCTTCTTTTAAAGTATCTGTTCAACACTTGGGCCCAATTTTGGCTCCTATTTGCATGGAATGTCTTTTCATCCTTTTACTTTCAGTCACTTTCAGTCTTTGTATCCAAAGTAAGTCTGATCATTAGCGATGCTGAGCATCTTTTCATGTAGCTGTTGACAACTTATACATCTTCTTTGGAAAAATGTTTATTCAGATTCTTAATCCAGTCATTAATCAGATTATTTGTGGGTGTTTGTTTTTTGGCTTTTGTGTTGCATGAGTTCCTTATATATTTTGGATATTAACCCCTTAACAGATAGATGGTTTGCAAATATTTTCTCCCATTCGGTAGGGTGTCTTTTCATTTGTTGATCCTTTTGTTGTGCAGAAGCATTTTAGTGTAATATAGTCCCACCTGTTTATTGTTTCTTTTGTTGCTTATGCTTTGGTGTCATACCCAAAAATATCATTGGCTAAGACCAATGTCAAGGAGCTTTTTCCCTATGTTTTCGTCTAGGAGTTATCGTTTGAAATCTTACACTTGACTCTCTAATCCATTTGAAGTTAACTTTTGTAAGTAGTGAAAGTTATGGGTCCAATTTCATTCATTTACATTTGACATCTAGTCTTCCTGACACCGTTTACTGCAGAGAGTATCTTTTTCCCATTGAGTATTGTTGGCTCCCTTGTCAAATCTTAGTAGACCATATCTCCATGGGTTTATTTCTGGGTTCTCAATTCTGTTCCATTGGTCTATATAAATGTTTTTATGCCATGAACATATTGTTTTGATGATTAATCTTTGTAATCTATTTTGAAATCAGGAAGTGTAATGCACCTAGATTTGTTTTTTTGTTTTTTTTTCCCTAAGGAGTTTTTGGACTATTTTGAGTCTTTAATGGTTCCATATGAAATTTAGGATTGCTTTGTATATTTCTGTGAAAAATATCTTTGGAATTTTGGTAGGGATTGCATTGAGTCTATAGATGGCTTTGGGTAGTATAGACATTTAAACACTATTCTTCTAATCCATGAAGATGGAATATTTTCCCATTTATTTGTGTCTTTAATTTCTTTCATCAATGTCTTCTAGTTTTCAGTGTATAGATCTTTCACTTCCTTGGTTAAATTTATTCCTAAGTACTTTGTTGCTTTCCATGTTATTGTAAATGAGATTGTTTTATTTCTTTTTCAGATAGGTTGTTGCTATTGTATAGAAATGCACTGATTTTTGCATGTTGATTTTGTAACCTGCATCTGTACTAAATTTGTTCATTAGTTCTAACAGTTTTTTGGTAGAGTTTTTAGAATGTTCTACAGCTTGTCCTCTCCAAAAACAGAAAATTTAATTTCTTCCTTTAGATTTGGGTGCCTTTCATATCTTTTTCTTGGTTAAATGCTCTGGCTAGGACTTCCGGTACTATGTTGAATAGCAACAGTGAGAGTGGACAACCTTGTCTTGTTTCTGAACTTAGAGGAAAATTTTCAGCGTTTCATCACTGAACATGATATTAGCTGTAGACGTCTCATTTATGACATTTATTAGGTTGAAATATGTTCCTTCTAACCCAATTTGTTGAGGGTTTTTATCATGAAAAGATGTTGAATTTTGTCAAATGTTTTTTATGCATCTATTGAGATAATCATATGATTTTCATCTTTTATTCTATTAATGTGATATATCACTTATTGATTTGAGTATGTAGAACCATTCTTGCATCCCAGGGATAAATTCTACCTGATCATGGTGTCTGTTGATTTTTCTATTATTTTTCTGGGCTCTATCATGAATCAATAGGGAACTGCAAATAACAACCACAATAAAATATCACCTCACACCTGAAAGATTGGCTATTATCAAAAACACAAGAGATAACAAATCTCGGTGAGAATGTGGAGAAAAGGAAGCCTTGTGCATTGTTGGTGGGAATGTAAATTGGTACAGCCACTATAGAGAACAGTATAGGGTTTCCCTAAAAAATTAAAAAAAAATAACTACCAGCAATGATCCAGCAATTCCGTTTCTTGGTATATAGCCAAAGGAAACAAAATCACTATCTTGAAGATATATCAGCCTCCCCATCTTCATAGCAGCAATATTCACAATTTTCAAGAGATGGAAGTTACCTGTGTCCATTGATGGATAAATGAATAAAGAAACTGTGATATAATATTATTCAGTCATAAAAAATGGAAATCTTACCATTTGAGACAACATGGGTGGACTTTGAGGCATTAGGTGAACTATTTAGATAGAGAAAGACAAATATTGTATGACTTCACATATATGTGGAATCTAAAATAGCTGAATTCATAGAGAGTAGAATGGTGGTTGCCTGGGGTGGGGGGATGTGGGAAATGGGAAGACGTTGGTCTAAGTGTACAGATTTCGAGTTATAAAATAAATCAGTTCTGGGGATCTAATGTATAGCAAGGTGACTATAGTTGACAATACTGTACTTCAGTCATGCACAGCGTAATGATGTTTGGGTCAGTGATGGAACCCATATGTGATGGTAGTCTCATAAGATAATAAGTGGAGATGAAAACTTCCTCTTGCCTACTGACGTTGTAGCCATTGTAACATCATAACGCAATGCATTACTCATGTATTTGTAGTGATGCTGGTGTAAACAGACCTGCCCTGCTGCCATTCATATAAAAGCATAGCACACACAATTT